TTTTGGTTGGTGGGGCAGGGGAGCAGGGAACTTAATTAGATTAGTTCCCCAGGAAGGCCACTTTGGGGGCTTCCCTTCGCTTCCACAGCCACCCTGCTGCTTCTGGTCAGTTTCACTCTGGCTGATCAGCTGTTAAACCTAGCAGCTGATTGTGGGAGCGAAACGGACCAGAAGGCAGGGCAGCTTCCCTGGAAGAGCTGGTGAGGCTACAGAGGGGCAGGGGGCAGGAGTGGTGGGTCTGGCATCCTCCCTGGGTGGGACAGGGCTCATCACTGGTGGGCCTCTGCCCCCAAATGCCCCACCGTGGCTATGGGCCTGCTCCCATCCAGAGTGAACTATGTTCTTTGCCCTACTACAGGAGAGGGCTTGGACAGGAAAACCAAGATCAGAAGGAGTGTTATCACTGTTGAGGTAGTCCCACAGTGAACGTGCAAGAGAATGCAGATAAAACATGCGTGCACAAAAACTAAGCTTGCAAGTAAGATGGTGAAACTAGACCTTAGGACGAAGAGCTGGTGAGGCTACAGAGGGGCAGGGGGCAGGAGTGGTGGGTCTGGCATCCTCCCTGGGTGGGACAGGGCTCATCACTGGTGGGCCTCTGCCCCAAATGCCCCACCGTGGCTATGGGCCTGCTCCCATCCAGAGTGAACTATGTTCTTTGCCCTACTACAGGAGAGGGCTTGGACAGGAAAACCAAGATCAGAAGGAGTGTTATCACTGTTGAGGTAGTCCCACAGTGAACGTGCAAGAGAATGCAGATAAAACATGCGTGCACCAAAACTAAGCTTGCAAGTAAGATGGTGAAACTAGACCTTAGGACATCAATGAAGGTGTAATAAACCACTTGAATGGGCTCATACTTGAATTATCACTCAACAGCTACATACTCAGAAAAATGAATCTCCTCTACCATTGCTACTGGAATGTATGCTAAAATCAGCTAGCATCTCATTAAGCACATAGGTAACAATGTATTTTCCCAGTCTTTGCACTATCAAGTTAATTCTCATCTATCAGTTTCCCTTCTCACTGCAGCCCACATTGCTCATGGCTTTTTTGTCTATGTTAAGTTCCACCATCAGAGTCAAAAGGGTCCTCCAAATTACCCTATTAGGATCCTTGCAGGGATTGGTAGAATCCTGAATTTGGAATAGCCTCTCTTCAGCAATTCACGTGGTGTTGAGCCAGTGGTTAATAGGGTAGAAATCAATGTTCCCTTTAAGCTAAGTTAGTGTGAGCTAGCTCACAGTTTTTTAGCCTCCGGCTCACACATTTTTCTTAGCTCAGGAAGGATGGCTCCAGAGCAAACTAATTTATGCAAATTATATTGGCTTAATTATAGCCAAATTGCTTGCTCACAACTTTAATGCCAGTAGCTCACAAAGTAGAATTTTTACTCACAAGATTCCACAGCTTAGAGGGAGCATTGGTAGAAATAGCTGAGATAAATAAACAGCATCACAGCCACAGGAATTTAAACCTAGAGGGGGGAAAGCTGCCTACTTCTTATGGTTCACTTTTTGATAAAGGGAAAAATGTCCAGCTCCCATGCCAGATTTACACAGAAAAACACACACACACACACACACGGGTTAAACTCAGAAAATCACCTGTTGTTGCAATAATTGATGTTATTATTTTATAAGAGAGATGGGATGTGGTTTCTTTTACTCCTGACTTTCACAAACTTTATTCCAGTATTCTTTTCTCATGTTTTATCTTTCTTTTAGCAGTCCAATTTCATTTACCTCAATGGTCACAGAGGGGCATTATAAAAAAGGAGTTGGAAAATGAGGTTAACTGAAC